TGAAATACATATCATATCCATTTATTTTGCTATTAAAAGAGTAAAGGCTCATACTTGAAACATGATAATTGAAAAGTATTAAGTTAATAGAATAAGAAAAATAATACTATCAAACACCCATTTGTTTGAATAAGTAAATACCTCTTAATTTTCAATAACTATTGATGAGTTAGTAACCTTTTGTTTTGTTTTCATATTTTGTTACATTATTTATCAAACATGATGGTTATGATGTATGTTTACTACCAAACAACATCCACTGTGTATATTAACACTTACTATGAAAAATAATGTTATTTATTCTACCTTTTCTTCAAACCACCATTTTAATTAATAGATTGATAAAAATAAAAAATTCGATAAAATGAAATGGTTTATTTGATACTTTATTGTTTAAGAGATGAAACATTTTCTAATGAATATGTTTTGTTGATGAAATTACTTCTTGTGAAACAGTTCTTCAAGTGAAAATAGTATAACTTAAATAAGGTATTCAATAAACTAGATGTTTTAAAGGATAGAATTTGTATTTAAAGAAGAATAAATTCTCAAGATAATATAATTTCTATTATACTTCATACTCATTACATTCTTTATTATTTAAATTATTTTTTATTATTTCTTTTCTTCTAGTTCTTCAAACATTACTTTTACGTTCATGATATTTGTATTTCAACTACTCTTTTCTGTTTTAATCATTTCAGTATAACATTATTATTCATTTATATGTATTGTAATATTTCAGTATTTTAAAGAGTATGTTTTATCAAGTTTATAATATTATGATTCTTATAACGAAGTATTTATCTTTCTATTCTTTGTAACAAAATCATTTAATGTAATATTCAAGATAATGTTTAAATGGTGATTAGTCTCACAGTTTTAAGACAGTAATGTATGTTAAAATAATTATCAATCCAAGAAAATGGTTTATTTTATAGTATTAAGTTTCTCAATAGAGATTTATTAGTTATTTGTGAATTTTATACCAAAAGTATTAAAATTCAACTCAAAGAAACACACAATAAATGTTCTGATAAAACACTTTCAGTTTCATTAATGTATATTGTCTTCATTGAATTAACGAATCAAGTTTCAATGTGTTATGTACATTACAACAATTATTGATTTTGATATTAATGAGAAAGATAAAATGATTAATAAATCTTGTTGGTAGAATGATAATTGTATTGTTTGTTATTAGAAATTACAATTATTTTCTCATTATTATCAAGTTTATTGTCATTTTCATATAAATAAACAATGTCATGTCATTTTATCTTATTTTATGATTTGTTATTTGAAACTTATGTTAATAATTGGTATTTCATAATACTCATGAATTTAGAGAATATTCTTGTAATTGCATTGAATTTTATTACATAATGGAAATAAGATATGTTAAATACAAACTAAATGATTGATTTTTTGTATTAAATAAGGGTGTTTCTATTGACACATTCACTTTCAATTGAACAAATCCAAATATCTACTTTGTTAATAGAGTCATATCATGAATTTCAATGAAGAATGTAGATGAGTTGCTTAAAACGATAGAGTACAAAGGATGTAACGAAATATTAGATTTTTATAAGAATAGAGTCAAAATCTACACTTTTCCACAAGAAATTTCAAGACAGATTATGTGTTTCAGTCATCCACTATCAATGTTTAAATTCAAAAACAGAAAGTGTTTCAATGAATGTAGTTGAAAAAGACGAAAGAGGTGATATGAATAGAGAAGATGATGAGGAGAAAGATTAAATAGAGAAGGAAGAGATGAAAAAGAAGAGAAATAAGAAAGATATAAATAGAGAAGAACTTAGAAAAGAAAAGAGAGATGAAGACTAAAAATAAAAATAGGTTTTGATAGGAGGAGAGATGAAAAAGAACAAGAAGAGAAGAAGAAAAAAACAGAACTCAACTAAGAAATAAACAATAATATGTCAGTTAAAACAGGATGGGGAATAAAAGAAGGAGGTAGTTGGAAAACATGGAAAAGAAGAATGTTTAAACTAAGTGAAGGGAAAATAGAATATTTTAAAGATGAAGGGATGACAAAAAAAATGGGAGATATTGAATTAAGTAAAGTCACACATGTACTTGCAGTAGACCAATATAAAAAAAGAAAAAATCTAATAAGAATTATTACACCATCAAGAACATATCATATTAGTGTCAATGAAGAAAGTGATAGAGACTCATGGGTAGAAGCAATAAGAGGAATGATTGGAGATAACAAAGAGAAGAAGACACAAGAAGAAAAAGAAGAAAATAAAATAAGTATGGAAGATTTTGATATTATAACATTATTAGGGAAAGGAGCATTTGGAAAAGTTATGTTAGTTAAATATAAAAAAGAAGGAAAAATATATGCAATGAAAACAGTTGAAAAAGCACAAATAATTGATAGTAATGAAGTAGAACATATATTATCCGAAAAAGTAGTATTATCACAAATTAATAATCCATTTCTTGTTAATATGCATTATTCATTTCAAACACCAACACATCTTGTATTTATTTTAGATTATTGTGCAGGAGGAGAATTATTTAGTTATTTACAAAAACATCCAGCAGGATTACCAGAAGTAGATGTAAAATTTTATGCAGCACAAATAGTATTAGCATTAGAACATATGCATAGTACAGGAATTATTTATCGAGATATTAAACCAGAAAATATTCTTTTTGAAAAAGATGGATATTTACGAATGACAGATTTTGGATTAGCAAAAAGTACAAAAAAAGGTACTACAAACACATTTTGTGGAACACCAGAATATCTTGCACCAGAAGTAGTTGAAGGATTAGATTATAATGAATATATTGATTGGTGGGGATTAGGTATTTTAATATATGAAATGTTATTTACACAATCACCGTTTTTAGCTGAAACAATGGAAGAATTATATGAAAATATTTTACAAAGAGAACCAAAATATCCATCAACAAAACCAATCACAGAAGAATGTATGAATTTTATTAATAGTTTATTAATTAAAGAACCATCTAAAAGACTAACTGATCCTGATCAAATTAAAACACATCCATGGTTTAATGGATTTAATTTTGATGACTTATATAAGAAAAAATTAACACCACCATATGTTCCAAAAATTCAATCACAAACTGATACATCAAATTTTGATGATGAAATTACACAAGAAGAAGTTGATTTAAAAACAGGAGTTGAGGTTGTTGCTGACAATAGATTTTTTACAGATTTTACTTACGTACAAAAATAAAGATAACATTTAATGTGAAAATAAAAGTTTCAAACATTTTTAAATATTATTTGTTTTAAATTAAAACAAACATAAAATAAATAATATAATTTCACTTCATCATTTATTTTTTATTTTTACTTTTACTTTTTCTTCTTTAATAGAATAATACAACTAATAAAATAATAGTAATAATACTATTGATTTTATTACTTGAACATAATAATGTACAATCCAATGACAATGAAATTCCTGATGCTCTTGAACATTGTAAATAATTATTACAATTAACTATACATTGACTATTATCATTATTAGATATAATTGTATTTGATGTACATTCAGGATATACAATACTACATGATGTTAAATATGCCATAAATGGACAATATGGTGATTTTAATAGCAATTCTTGTTGGAGTTCTCTTGCTAATGCATCATTCAATGCCATTTCATATTTTGTGTTTGAATAAATTGGATAATGAGGTGATGGACAATAACCAAATGTTTTTGATGTAGTTGTTATTTGAGAACATGTATCATCAGGAATGCATTTAGCAAATGAGTCAGTTAATTGTTCACATTTGTGAGTACAAGAATAATAATGTTGCAATCCATTTCGATGACATACTGTTATTCCATTAAGATATGTTCCATCATTATTTTCTTTTAATTCACAAAAACTACCTGGATATCCATAAAAACATGAAGATGTTCCTGAACATGTTGTTTTAAAAGGAGTTGTTTGATTACAACCTAAAGGACAAGTAATAGAATAAATTTGATCTCCATTACTACATTTAACTAAATTATTTCTGTCACAATAAAATCCATCTTCTTCTTTTAAGTCACAATAAGAACCATTGATATTTGATATAATCAATAAAACAAGAATATAATAGTTGTTATTCATAATTTTTATTCCTCGTTCTATTTACATTTCTTATTTATAGAGGAAGTTTCTTTAAATAAATTTGTCTTTTCAGTTTAACATATAACAAAGAAATTCTTTAGTTAAAGTAATTTATAAAGAAAGAATAATGAAATAAAACAAATGAATTAGTTTGTAAGTAAGATACTTTCTAAATTATAGAAGTCAATAATATTTTTAACCATCATATAATTATTTAACATTTCTTTTGGTCTACAAACTAATGCCCATTTCATTCCTACACTAACAAAGTCTTTCCATTTTCTTTCTTTATCTCTTTTAAATGAATTACAAATCCATTCTCCCATAATTATAAATAATTCTCCTAAGATTCTTCCACATTCATCATACATTCCAAAATATTTTAATCCATCACCTAAATCTCCTCCACAACAAAGAATATTTCCTAATTTTTTTGCACATTCTTTATATACCATTCCTTCTTTATTTATCATCTTATTTGGATGAAACCAATTATTATCTTCTCTTTGATAATAAAAATATTCAAGAAATTCAATATAACTTTCTATTGCCTCTTTTTTTTCTTCATTTCCATTAATTTCATAATATCCTTCTTTTTCTTTACTATTCATTTCTATATATTCAAGAATTCCTCCTGAAAATTGATTAATTTGATTTAGTTTTTGTTCATATTCAATAACCCCTCCATTAATTTTAATCCGTTTTCTTGGGGTTTCAAAGATATTATTATACCATTCTTCTAGTTGTGTGTTATTCATCTTGTTATTGTTTTCTCTCTTTTCTTTATTTTTAATAGTTCTTCTTGTTTAAAAATTATTTCAATTTGAAGTTTAATTAAAAGTATCAATTTATTTTCTTTTTTAAGCAAAATATGTTAAACTCTTCTTTTTCTTGCTTTGAACTTCTAATATTCCTTGTTGGAAATCTTCATGTCGAATTTCTATTGCTTCTCTCCTTAATGCAATCATTCCAGCTTCAACACAAACTGCCTTTAATTGTGCTCCATTAAAATCTTGTGTAGAACGTGCAAGTTCTTCAAAATTAATGTCATCACTACACTTTAATTTTTTACTATGGATTTGTAAAATATGAACTCTTGCCTCTTCATTTGGTGTTGGAAACTCTATCTTTCTATCAAATCTTCCTGAACGTAAGAGTGCTGGATCTAAAACATCAATTCGATTTGTTGCCGCAATAACTCTGACATCATCCGTTTTACTAAACCCATCTAATTGGTTTAATAATTCTAACATTGTTCTTTGAATTTCTCTATCTCCACTATGTTCACTTTCCGTTCTTTTTGTACCAATTGCATCTATTTCATCAATAAAAATAATTGCTGGTGCTTTTGATTTAGCAAGCTCAAACATCTCTCTAATGATTCTTGACCCATCTCCAATACTTGATGAAACAAGTTGTGGAGCTGCTAATTTTAAAAACGTACTTTTTGTTTGTGCTGCACATGCTCTTGCCATTAATGTTTTTCCTGTTCCTGGTGGTCCATATAAAAGAACTCCTTTTGGTGTTTGAATCCCAAGCTTTTCAAATTTCTCTTTTTGTGTCATAGGTAAAACAATAGCCTCAATCATTTCTTTCATTTCTTTATCTAATCCTCCTACATCGTTATATGTTTCTGTTGGTCTTTCAATGACTTCCATCGACTTAACTCTTCCATCATATTGTTGTGGTAATTTTTCTAATATTAAATATGTGTCTTTATTAACTCCAACAAGATCTCCTGGTTTAAGGTCTTTGACATTAACAAGTCCTGACACTGGAAGAAATACATTAGATCTCATCGAAGTATTAATAACAACTCCTTTTGTTCCTACATTTCCTTTATTATCTAATCCTGACCCATCATCACTTTCTTCTGGTGGCAAGTCTAATATCTCAACTACATTTGATATTAAAAATGGTAATTTTGCAAACATCTCTATCTTTTCTTTACTTTCTTTATTTTGTTTATTAATAACTGCAAGCTCTTGTCGAATTCTTTCATGTTCATGTCTAATAACTCCTTCTTGCCTTTCCATTTGTTTAATTTGTTGTTTAATTTCTTCATTACTAAGTGAAAGAACATCTGCTTCATTTAATGTAATCATTTCTTCTTCCGTGAAACCTTCCATGTGTTATATTATTTCTTGAATTTTAAAGTTCTATCTCACTTATTATGAAAAGTAATATCTCTTCATACTATTTCTTTTTCTTTTTTCTTGCCTTCTTTTCTTTTTTCTATTCACATACTTCATTTCTTATTTTTTCCTTTTTTCTTGATTCTACTTTTTTTGGAAAAGGGTTTTTTATTTCTTTTATTGAGTATTATTTCTATCTTTTATGTTCCTTGTTGTAAACTCCAAATCAGTACATACTCATTATGCAAGACAACTTGACCGATACACTTAGTATTTCAAATCCATATTTTGTTGTTAAAAAAAATGGAGTTGAAGTACATTATGATGGAAAGACAAAAGAATTTACAGATGGAGTGGATTGTTTTAAATGTGAAGCACTTGAATTACTTTTAATTCAAAAAGAAAAAGGGATAGAAGTAATTAATTATTCCTTTGAAACATTATATGAAATAGAAATCCAATACATACAAAGTATTAGTGTTATAAAAGAGTTTTTACATATTTTTCAAATGCCACCAGCAAGTAATATAAAAGGATATGTCAAAGAAGCGTCAATGTATTATTTAATTGAATTACAAAGAAAAACCTATAATATAGGATTTAGTAGAAGAATTAATGGTACACCAATAAGTTGGCCATTAACTAGTGTTAAAAATAATATTATTGGGATTATTGAAGGAAATGGAGTAACGTATTATAGATATGAAGAAGATAAAATATGTAGAACATTTTCAAAAGAAAATTTAATTAATACTAAAAGTATTGATAGAGATGAGTTGATAGGAGGAAAAACAATTGAATTTAGTCCATATGATTCTGGACTTGTTTTTGGTATTTTCTTTCCAGAAAGAAATAGATTTCCAGGAGTAATTGATTTATATAGAAAAGAAATTGGAAAACCATGTAAACTTATTAATACAATATCAGTATTAAATGGAACAAGTGTTCTTTTTAATTGGTGTAAAAAAGGACATATTTTATTAGCTACAACATCAACAGACTTTGATGAAACAGGACATAATTATTATGGAACTAGTATGTTACATTCTTTATATATTTCAGAAAATTCTAATAGTAGTGTAATTGAAAGTAAATTAGATAAAACATTATATAAAACACCTACAAATAATGTATTTACTCAAACTCTTATTCAAACTCAAGTTCAAGATGTTTCATTTGATCCTACTGGTAATTTTTTAGCTATTTTATATGGAACACAACCATCTAAATTAGTATTATTTGATACTTCAAATATGAATCAAATTTTTTCTATTCAAAGTTGTTTCTTTAATACAATTTCATTTTCTTATAATAGTCAATTTCTTGCTATTGCTGGATTTGGTAATCTTCCTGGTGATGTTGAAATTTATGATACAAAAGACTTTAAACGTGTATGTAAATTTGCTTCTCAATGTACTACTGAGTGGACTTGGAGTAATGACAATGCCTCTATTATTTGTGGTCATTGTTTACCAAGAAGACATTTTGATAATAGAATAGAAAGATTTGGAATTGATGGAAGAAAAATAGAACGAAGAGATGTCTTAGTAAAACACATTACCATGTTTGGTATTCCTTCAACTAAAGATGTTGTGTTTAAATACATTGAATATAATGAAGAAAATGAAATTTTTAAAGTAGCAAAAAAAAAGAATTAATTAATTAATTTTTTCTCCTTTTTCTTTTCATTATTTAAATTAATACATCTTTTATTGAATTTCTTGTATTTATTTGCTTTTTCTTTATAAATATATCTGTTATTCTTCTCCCATTGCTTCAGGAATTAATTGTGTAATTGCGTCTATTGGCTTTTTCCCTTCATCTCCATTCCCATAATTATCTTCATCTGAATGATCATCATGTGGATGAAAATCTTTCAAATCTATTTCATAATGAAGTCGTGTTTGGTGTGGTGTTTTCCCTGCTAAGTGTTGACTTATTTCAATCCAATTCTTTCCTATTTCTTTTACCATCTTTAATATAATTATGTCATCTTCAAATGTAAATCCCGTTCCATCTATTGTTGGATCAAGATGATTATAATATCGTTTTTTACATTCTTTAATACTTCTTGTCATTACTGTACTTTGTATTGCTATCCAATTATCTGTTCCAAATTCTTGTACTGCTTTGATTAATCTTGCATCTTCTTCTTCTTTCCATGCAACTTTTTTCATTTTTATTCCTTTCATTTCTGTTTCTTCCTTCATTGGTGGTTTTATCCCTTTGTTTGTCATCAATATTTTTGTGAGTTTCTTTTTTAGGTTTTAGTTATTTACACTTCTCCTTCTATTTCTTTATCTCTTTCTTTATTTCTTCTTCTTATCTTTGAACTTCTTCATATTGTCTTATCTTCTTTTTATATGATGTTTTCTCATCTTTTCATAATAACCTAACTCTATTACTCTCACAATTACTTTATTATTCTTCTTTCTGTGTTTTTCTTATTTTTTCTAACAACTCATGATTTGTATGTTTCTTATGAATTGTTATTTGTTCTTGACTTTTTGTTCAAATAATCAAACTCAAGTCAATGACTTTCATTTTTTTGTTAAGAAGCTTTTGTTATAATTTGTTTAACAGTTAGTTATTTCTCAAATAATTCATTGTTTTATCAAAGTAAAACTTAAAAATATTTGGTAATTTGTTTTGATATCTATTGTATTTCTATGACATTTTCTTCTTCATTTACTTTATTCTGTTTCTAAACCATGAGTGTAAATTTAATGTATTATCTTAGCAACTTGTCAAGCATACATTATTCATTGACTGACTCTATCCTTTGTGATGACAATGAATATTAGCTGACTACACTTTTACTACTTTATCAAATTTACTTATTTATTCATTCATTTTTCAAGTCATGTAATCTTATTTTCTTGTATCTTCTTAAAATCTTGTTTGTTATGCAAAACTAATTGGCACATTGCTCCATGTTATCTAAATTACATTTATCTTTTCACTAATTACAATAAATTCTTTTGCATAGAAATGTTTCTATAATATGTTAATTAGAGGTTTAGTCTTTCTTAAAAATATCATTAATCTATTGATTCAATCATCAAAACAAAATAACCTTTCAGAATATGTCCAATTGTTATTAGATACCTTAGATATGTGGTTATTTAAAGTATATAATCAACAACAAGCAATAGTTTTCTTTTTTAAATAACATTACATAAATTGAAAAAAAAAAGAAATGAAAGAAATGTGTTTTTATGTTTAATGAGCATACGCTGTTAGTATAAAATGTGTCTATTTATTTGAAGAAAAGAGGAAGGAATAATAGAAGAATAAACTGAGATAGAAGTGATTTATTAAGTTTTATTTCAGTTATAAACAAGACATGAATAAAAATAATTGTAAATAAAATAAATTAAAAGAAACCAAATAACAAATTTAATAATGAATTAAATGAAAGAAGAAAAATAATAATATAATAAATAACAATATATAAAATTTTATTCAATTGTTTCTTTAAAAATAATTTAAAACAGTGAAAAAATTAGAGTCACTTATTTTTATAAAAACTTTCAAGTTCGTTCCATTTACTTTCAAGTTCTTCAGGATTGTCTTTATTTTTTTGAACCATCTTGTTAAATTCCTTTATAATATCCCTTTTGTATGTTTCACCAACTTCTTTAATAAGTTTTTTCATTTTATCATTTCTAATTTCTGAAGCAATTTGAGATGCTTTTTCAACTTTTTCCATTTGAGCTTTTTGCCTTTCAAAAATTTGCAAATATTTTTGAGTATCAATACCTTTGTCAGTCAAAGTAATTTCAGAATATCTTTCTAATTCTTCAACACCATTATTTTCTTTTATTTCTTTCCATACTAAATCCAGGTCTTTATCTCCAATATTACAATTAGAGAATATTGATACATCAAACTCTTTTCCAGATGGTCCATATGTTTCTGGATCTCTTTCACAACATTCACATCCTTTTTCTAAAAGATAGTCAGAAGACTCATCACCATAAAAACAAGCAACAGTTCCTTGAAGATTGTTCATAAACTTTTGAATACATAATTTTAATCCATCACTCTTATCTTGGACATTAAACTCTCCAATACATATCTCTTGTTCTAAAATAGTGTTATCACGATCATACTCTAATTTTTTAAATAGAATTTTGTATGTTCCTTGGTCTAATGATGGAAGCTTAATTAATTCAGACGTTAATTGTGGGACATCAATTAATTTAATTGTTTGATTATTTTGAATGTTCTGAATAGAAAGTTGATTTAGTTGAATAACTGTATCGAATGAAATACATTTATTAAAGTCTTCAAATAAGAATAGTTTTTTACCACTCATTCCTTTCCATTCTGTTTTACGTACATACCAACCACAACCTTCTGCATTAATTTCTTTTTGATGAACTGAAGGTTCACAACTAACACCAACGGTATGTTCAATTTCTCTATTAACAAATGAATTTTTATGTTCTCCACAGAAAAATAAAGCAGTAATTTTTAGCTGCTTCATATCTTCTAATTGAGATGGTATAACAGTTTTTGTTGAAGCATCAATGACATTTTCAAATTTAATTTCTTTAATGATTTGGTATGTTTTTGTTATTGTGTCATTAACTAAAGCAACTAATTTTTGAATAAAACCTTCAAATGACTCTTTTAATTGTTCTTTAGTAATTTCAATAGAGTCACCATCATCATTACAATAATATGTTTGTGTAACATTAGAATCAGAAAATCTGTTAATAAGATCATATATTGATTCAGCAGCTTTTCTGTGTTTGTAATTCCAAGTATCAATATCATTATTAAATTTACTTTCTTCATTAATATTAAGCATATCTGCTGTTAATGAAAGAAAATCTCTTTGTCCAATCCTACAACTTACTTCATTAATTTTAATAGTTTTTGTCCTTGAAACAAAATATGATGTTATAGAAGTATGACAGTCATCTAAATTAATACCTAAGATAAGTTTATTTTTATAATCATCATTTTTTGTTGTATAAAATTCT